AGCCTAGCAGGTAATTCTGATGTGGTCATTACATAGAAGTGTGATGGAAAATACAGTAGTATAAAGATATAGTAAGACACACGTACATAGATTAGGATGGGCTGCTGTTTATGGACCCTATGTCTTAGAAAAAAAGAAGTCTACACTTTGTTGAGGCTTCTGGGTTATCAAGTCTAGTTCATATGAGTTTGAATTTGGAGGAGAATCTGAACAGGATCTTTGGCTAATCGAAGTATTTACATTGGGCTTCTCCCCTAGCACAGAGGAGGAGGAAGGTACCAGGCCAACAGACTCACTCACCCACTCACACTGAGTCCGTTCCAATTCATGGCAACCCTGTATTGGGTTTCTGAGGCTGTCGATTTTCTTTGTTGGAGAGGCTGGTGGTTTTGAAGAGTTGCAGTCACCAACCCAGTGCTCATCCACCAGGGTTTGTTAGGCAAACAGAAGACGAGCTGAAATCCCAATTCCTCCACAAGAAACCACAAAAATATCACTAAGATTTAAAAAATAATCAGCATTCTAAGGTTCCACTAAGCTGCCTTCTGAATTCCTCTAACCTTTGGAAAACATATCCATCAGCATCCACTCATTTATTAGGACACTCAAAATGGGCTATAACCCACTTACCATACTCTCCTGTCATTTTCCCCTCTATTTAAGGGAGAAAAAAAGATGACAAAAAAAGACAAAAATCCTGGAGGTGGAAGATGTACCAGTTTAACCACCCTCTTTGATCAAATAAACAAAATTAAATAGACACCAGTTTCTGCATAGTTTACCCAGTTTTAAATGTAAGAGGAATGACAAAAGATGCAGCCATCTTCACAATACAATCAATAATAGGACAATCCACATATCTGGCTTTGCCACAAGCTAGCTATTTGGCCTTGAGTGCACTGAAGTGCACTATAATGCCAAGTATTTCCTTATCTGAGCAATCTATTCTATTTTGAGGAAAAAATAAAATGATGGTGTGGGGCTCAAACCTCATTAAAGCTTCTAAAATTTGTCTTCTGAAAAATTTCTGTAACTCTTTATTCCAAATGTGAAATTCAAATCCTGCTATCAAATCATTTCCAGACATCTAGAAAATCTAATCCATTTCCAGTGTAAGATACCAAAGCAACAACAATTAGGCTGTTATTAGTGAACCATGTGCTCTAAGCAGTCACTTGCTGGGCCTTATTGTTTTTGTGTCACTATACCCTGTAAAATTACAGGCATTACAGTTACTGAGAAACTCAGTAACTTTTAGAACCCTAAGATATAGTTTATTCTATTCAATAAATCTACTAGAGAAGTCCCAATAGAAACACATGTACTCCTAAACATATAAAACCCCACCATAATAAGAATAGCTGAATGAGTACAAACAGCCATCTTTTTTAAAGCATTCCTGTTTGAAGAAAACTAAATGGCACGAGATTCACAATCTAACAGCGTTTGGATGGTAATAAATATACTATCTATTTACACATGAAAATTAAAAATAACTGCTACAAGGGCTGCCATTCATATACATATGAGTTTATTTCAAATTAAATGTGCTTCAACATGTCTGTACAATCAGTGGATGGCTCTAGACAAGTTTCTCTTGATCAAACATTTACCTGTCTTTGTTTCATGAGGGTGCCTACAAAAAAAGACCCAATCGAAGCAGTGCCATTCCACGCTACCTGTTGGGCCAGTTAAATTCAAGGGAGAGAGGTCGGCTCAGAAAGTTACGGTGACTATTAAGCACTAACCTTGATAGATTTTTCTCAAAGGACACACCACAACTATAGGGACTTTCAGGAAAACTGAAAACTATAATGGGTGAGAAAAAGGCCATGAACATGGCACTGAGGCATTTTTACTATCAAAACAATGTGCCTGCCTAATTCTTCAAGGGTAATAAAGGCTGTCTCATGAGAAATTTGTTAGGAAACCTTACTCCAGCCAGCCTGAAGCCCTGATCTTCTGATCTATTTTTGTGTCCCAAATGAAAAAAAAAAAAATTCAAAGAAGCACTGTTTGAGGCCAACAAGGATGCCTAGACTGCCATTCTGATGTGCTCTAACTCTAATAGCATAGAATGCTTCTGGAAAAAGTTAGAGATGCAAATATTGCATTCAGAAGTGCAGACCTCGATGGAGCCAGAGAGAGACTATGTTGAGAAACAATAGCTATGCATTCTGATCTAAACCAAACCAAACCACTGCCATCAAGTGAATACTGACTCATAGCAACCCCGACCCCGTGTGGATTTCCAAGACTAACTGTTTATGAGAGTAGAAAGCCCAGTCTTTCTCCCTCAGACCAGCTGGTAGTTTCAAATTGCTGACCATGCAGATCACAACCCATCGCATAACCTGTTTACTACAGGTCTGTATGATTTTTCAGCAATACATTTTGACTTACTCTTGTACAAAACACAGGTATGTGTTGGATGTGTGACCTATTTTATTTGCAAAGTTAAAACAATTTTTGTTTAAGAAAACAAACACACTTTTAAAAGCCTCTGAAAAGAACAGGGAAGCCTACCAAGTAAGTCAAGACAGTTTCAAATATGAATTAAAACAAATAAAAAATTCACTTTGAGTAAACCCTTAATGTGAGGTTCTCAGAACCACTCAAAAGATGCTAAAATAAAATGATGAAACTAGTTAGGGCATCAGTGGGCAGAAGGACCTCAGACAGAGAAGTAAACTTAGCCTGTAGTGAAAAAAATTCTGATAATGGTAGACATGGTATAAAGGGGTGTAGTAAATAAATATTTATACGGGTATTTCAAGTTGTTACAACTTAAGGGAAGTGTACAGGGATGGGAAGGGGGTGACGGCAAATAAAATTACTCCTTTTCATCACTGATTCCTTCTGCTAGCAGATACATCAAATGGCAGCACCCAAGGGACAGAGTGGGGTGGAACAAGCAGAAGGGCAGTACTTTAATTGTGAAAAAGTGAAGACTTTTTTCAGAAGCTGTTTCTAAAAGGTGGCATTCTAGCTGCCTTTAGGAAAGGAAGCAATATATGGAAACTCTGGCTAAAAATAATTACATATTCATAAAGAAGTTAGAAATATCCATGAATGCCTGAGATGATAACGCAACCCCAACCCTTTACAGCTGATATCAGAGAGAACACCTGGGTCTGTTGGCTGTAGCCCCTACTGGAAGCAGCTATTTGCAAAGCTTTGGATCCAGTCTATCCTGTTTCTGTATGATAGAAGATGCAGCAGGCATCTTTTCTTAAATATATTTCTATAAATATATTCCTAATGGATATCTTAGAAAAGTCAACAGGTCATAAATTCCAATCACATCATTACTCTACGAGAAATAGCTGCCTTATTGTCTTTTTTCTGTGCCTGCACTGTAAAAATTCTCCATTATGGCCCTGACAGTTTTATTGCTTGTGTTTTTTTTAATGGCATAAATAAACCTAGAAATAAACCAATTAGCATAAGTACTGAAAGTGGCTATTTTCAGAAGGAAGTGAAAAAATAGATTTAATAGTGAAATTATGGAACTGGCTCTCAATTTCCTGATAAATGACATATGATGTAAAGTTAAATCCTAAATTGATCTTAAGTTAGAAAGCCACCACAACAATAGATACGTAAGTATGGCTACTGATCATTTGAGATAAATAATAACAAACCAAGATGAAGAATAAAACTACCACTAAGTCTACTGACAATGGAGCCACTGAGGTGAGCGGGGGTAAAAGGGGGGCAGATCTTTTAAGTTTGCCTTACACAGCAGGTTTTCCCAGTTCCATTAATTCCCTCTTTAAAATGCAACAGCAGTAAGAGAAGATTTTTCCTAAAACAACCAAATTTGATCCCGAATTTAAAATGAGTTGGCTCCCTAATTTGATTAAACTTACCACCTCATTTTTATGTCCTTCATAGTGGGACATAAGCTTTTTGGTATTTAAACAAAAAGCTCACTGCCATCAAGCCAACTCTGATTCATAGCAAGCCTGTAAGACAGGGCAGAACTGCCCCTATGGGTTTCTGAGACTGTAACTCTTTACAGGAATAGGAAGCCTCTTCTTTCTCCTGAGGTACGGCTGGTGGTTTCAAACTACTGACCTTGTAGTTAGTGGGCCAATCCATAACCCATATGTGACTCTCCAAAGAAGTTGTATCTTGACACAGATGGGGTTCTCCAAGAGTTGAAATCAACAGGATAAACCTGGTATATTTAACTGAATTCATGGAATCTAAGCCTACCTCAACCCAGTGTTCAGAGATCTGAGACATTTTTATTGTTAATTGTTTTGGAGGATGGTAGGTGGCGAATAGAACACAAGAGATTCTGCTTTTAATCAAAAATAGATGCATGTAATACTCAATAAAATTAACCATCTAACCATTCTCCTGACACACTGCCAAGGCCCACTGCCATCAAGTCCATTTCAACGTACAGCAACTCTACAGGACAGAACAAAACTCCCCCAAAGCTATAATGTTTATGAAAGCAGACTGGTGGGGTGGGGTGGTGAGTTTGACCTGCCGACCTTCTGACCAGCAATTTAAGTGCTTAACCATGATGCCATCTCATTCACTCTCACTGCTGCCCCGTCGACTGACTCACAGCTATCCCATAGGGGAGAGTAGACCTGGGAGGAGTGAGTGGGTGGGTTCCAAGATTATAAATCTTTCTGGGAGCAGACCATCTCATCTTTCCCCCACAGAGTGAATGGTTGTTTTGAACTGCTGACCCTATGGTTAGTAATCCAATGCTTAACCCACAGGGCCACCACTAGAGTGATTACTTGATCTACAATCTGTTTCTCTGCCAGTCTATTGACCATATGGCAGAGCGATCTGTCAGCATCTCATGGATGCTCATTCAAAGCAGGAAATCCTTCCAGGTATGCAGCATATCTGAAAATAAAGGAATCTTGAGAGTAGCTATGTCATAAAACAATAACCATCTTATCTCTCCCCCAAATAAAAAACGACTTTATATATTTTTTTATATTACCAAATTGTTCAGCAAACCTTACTTCTGGTAGTGGGCTGGCCGGTTTGGTTAGGATTCCTCCGACATAAACGACGTTAGGCAAGGTGGGTCTTGGAAATTCCAGGGCTATGTCAGTACACAGCATCCACAAGCTGGACCCTTGGACCAAATCATACATGGACTTCTCTGGCAGCAGCTTGTACTTCTGCATTATCCGTTCATATTTCGGAAGAACCAGAAAGCTGACTCCTAGTCTGGAAATGAGGTAAATGCCGGTATTTTTCATTCTTTGCAGCAAGTTCATGTGGTCTGTGAGGAGTGAGTTAAACTCTGGAACATAAGCCAAAGGAGCAGGAGCACCTACTTCAGCAGGATACCAAAGGCCAGTTGAAAACACGGCATATTTAACCCCTAGTAGATGCGCTATCACAAATCCACATATGTCATTAGGGTCCACCAGCAGCAGGTCAAACTTCTCCTTTTTCAAACCCTGAATCAGAGCATGGTTACCAACTATCATATCACAGTTCTTAGTATAGTGATCCAGTATGTCAAACAGTTCGATTGCTGTCAACCTCCCAGAGAAAATATTTTGCATTTTGGACTGGAGAAAAGCATCCGAGGTGGTACTGTTAAAGATCCCTGGGTAGCGCCGGAGGCTGTAGTGATTAGATGGCGTGATCTCTCTGCCATCAGAGAGGAGGAACACTGTGTGGTGGCCTCGCTCATGCAACGCAGAGGCGAGCGTCTTGAAAATGTATATATGGCTTTCAAACATAATTGGCGGCACGATGATGATTTTGGCAGCCTTCGCTATTCCCATAGCACTCCACAGGAGCAAGAAATACGGAGTGTAAGACTTCATAGCTGAAACGACAACCAGAAAATGACTTACAACGGGATAAAATCATTACAATTAACATTGTATAGTCACAGACAGCTCTGAGTCAGACTCAACTTGACAAGACTCATCACCAACAACTCTTTGCCTAAGAAATAATTTTTAAAATTCATCCTATCCTCTTTATTTGAACTATCCTTTTATTTGTGGAAAATCATTTTAAGAATAGAATGGGAAACAAAGCTGCCATAAACTGAAACACACAAAGTGCATCTGTTTTGGAGTATTAATAATGGGGAGAAATACATAGATTATTTTTTTATTTGACATCAAACTGCTGTAAGGGTGGGTAAATGCTATCTCTTACTTGTATAATACCTATGAAATATTTATTTATCATCTAATTTAGAGTCAATATTATATCAAGAAGGAGAGCTAGAATTTTTTACTTCCCAGGTATGTCAACACATGTTTCTCTTATGTAAATCATCTTTATCTCAGCACTTATATTGTCAATTACAACCAAAGCATACCAAAGCAAGGTCATGTTTGAGAAAATAAATCCAAGCAGTAGTTCTGTAGAAAAGACTATGCCTTCACACATAGAAAAAATTATCTGTAAGATGACTTCCCCTTGGCATAAATATGATAAGTATCCTAGCATTCATTACATAACATATCCATTTTCTGATTGATTTCAGGGAGTGAAACTTTGGCTAGGACAATTCAGGAAAGTAACTCTCTCTCAGTAAACATTAAGTGACTAATGAATAAATATGCCCCTTTATTTTGCCAAGCATAATGTCCCTCTCTGGGGACTGGTCTCTCCTGACATGTTCAAGGTGTGTAATACAAAGTCTCACCATCCGGGACTCTAAAGGACACTCGGTCATACTTTCAAGAAGTATCCCACAGTGTGACAAATTGACAGATTAGTGGTAGTCTTTCTACAATATACTATAAATAAGTACTTTTCATGCAGAACACATAAAGCATGAAAATTCCTCTCTCCTACTAAATATAATTCGTACTTTGACTTTAGATTAGCTCCCAAACAGAGAAAAGATCTAAATAACAATCGCCAATGCAAACTGGACACTTTTATTTCAAGGAATTCCAGAAAGATTTATATACAGCACCAAATCAATACTATTATCATCGATTAACCACCCTATTTCCACATATTCTCACCATTTAAATGTAGCTTTAGTAAGTACATCTAATCTATAATTAACCATTTCAAGTAATCTTGAACAAAAGTTAATAGTAAGAAAATGACAGATTCTACCATATCAGATGGGACCATAAGACATCATATTTCATCATATTTCAGGGTGCTTTTTCCCCTCCCCTGGTCCAAGGACATTTTCAAACTATTTCTCAGTAAGCTGAAATTGCACTATGAAGAGTATATATAAAAAAATTAGTATTATAAATTTATAAATAGCCTTATTAAATGTTATTTAAATCATACATTTTTTCCCAAAATTGGAGAAAACATTTCCTGTGGCCATTAAGTAAATGTATTCCACAATCACATGATCAATGAAGGAAGAGAACTAAGTACCCCCAAATTCTCTACGTTTCTATTCAACTGCACTACTTCCCCAACGCATCTCTCTGATATTACCTTCTCTCAATTTGAAAGAAATAACTAATTTAAGTGGACTGATACCAATATTCCAGTTGTGAATTTTAAGCCAAAACAACAGCTACTCGCCACTGGAATCACTGTTTCATTTCACTGTCTGCATGTCCAACCAGATGCAACTGATAATGATTCAATAGTAAGCAACTGGCTATCCACTGGGTTTTGCATTTTAGATGATGTTAAAAGCATCGTATATGAAGAAAGCAGAAAGGTATTAAAGCAGTTAGAAGAAAGAAAAAAACAAAATGGGTATCAAAAGAGGCTCTAACACTTGCTCGTTGAGGAGACTAGAAAGTGATGAACTCAGAGTGAACAGAAATCCAAAGAATATCTTGGGAAAACAAACCATTTTAATGAAATAAGCAAAGACCTAGATTAAAAATCAAAAAGGATGAACATGCTCAACGGGTCATGGTATGTTCAATATTCTTCAAAACAATTAATTAAAGGTATCAAAACCAAACTCCCTGCCATTGAGTCCAGTGCTGACCCATAGTGACCCTTATAGGACAAGGTAGAACTTTCCTGTGATTTTCCTGGACTGTAACTCTTAATGGGAGTAGAAAGGCTCGTCTTTGAAAACGTACATTGATGTGAATATTCGTTAAAAGAGCTGGTACACGTTATTTTACCTTTGTAAATCAGAATTTACAGCATTTTTGTACAGAGATGTGCAATGAATTCATTTACAGCAGCAAATACGCAACAGCCAAAGCCAGGAATAGGGGATTAATCTAATTAATAATAAATTATAGAGGAATATGATTGAAATATCAAATATATTACAATTAAAAATCACTGTATATACCTTGCATTTTTAATATTAGAGGTTGTACAGGTTCAAAACTATGGGTTGTATGTAAGTCAGATGTTCTTAGCATCATACACATAAAGTATGATTCATCACAATAAGAGCAACAACACAAAACTGTAAGACTCAGTGCCATTAAGTTGATTCCATCTCAAAGCCAACAACAAAGGCAATTTTGGGTTGAATATTTGTGTCATTTGTCTCCTTTACCTTTTCACACTTATAAGGGTTTTTTAAGTTCCCTATCAACTATATATTAAATTTATACCTACTCCTTCATTCTTATATGTCCTTGAGTGAGAACCTAACTCTCAGTCTCTTCTTCCCTGTCAAGTACCTTAAAACATCAGTCTGTGTGCTGGGTTGCATTTCCTCCTCAAATGATTAGAGTCTGCCTTTGACTCAACTATAATTCTGACCACACGCTCATTATTAATGGCACAAATACCTCCTAATGTTCACACAATGCTTTTTCTAGTTTGATTATTTGATTGGATTTTTCAACAAGAATATACACTCACTACTCTGTTTCCCCGAAAATAAGACAGTGTCTTACATTAATTTTTGCTCCCAAAGATGTGCTAGGTCTTATTTTCAGGG